TTCTAACATGTTCACGTATCGCCAATGAAACAGAAGTAGTATGAGGACATTGAGAACGATCGCATGATGATGAATAATATAATTCATAATTATTATTAGGATGTTGTTTTAATTTCAACTGATAATCACACGATGGATGCTTTCTATATTTCGAACATTTGCATCCATAGAAAAATAATCAAATCTGGTTCATTCAACTTTTGTTCTTCTAATTGCATACAAAGCGAATATTCGTGCATGTTCCGATGCATGGCGGTGCTGAGCACCCCCAACCGAGAAATTTTTACAAATGATTTTTTTCCGAGAAATTTTTACAAAACTTCGGTGCTGAGCACCCCCACCGACTTTTTCCTGGTTACGCCACTATGTTATCTTTAATTTTGAATTGATATAAAAGATGAAAAACAATTTAAATCTATATGAGCATTTTTCATGTCTTTACTGCTAAAATCATCAGATTTTAATTCAAAAATAATAAATTATTTCTTAGAGATATCAACAATATCAGAGAAATTAAAACAAAAATTGCGCGCATATATAAAATAACTTTCTCTCTCTCTTTTTTATATTATGAACACAAGCTCTTCTCGTAATCGTTGAATTTTCTCTACTTTCTTTCGACATAATGTTTGAAATAATGAAATATCAAAAACAAAAAATTATTTCCTTTTTATGACATTTTATTAACAAATGGCGTCTAATAGACTGAATTCTATGTCGGTTGTGTCACAAGTGACAGAACCGGATGCAGTCAATGATTATGGTAGTGATGTCTTAAACCAACCATTTCCTATCCGTGTCATGGCATTGAAAGTCGAAGGATCGACACATCCAACATCTCAATCGACGCAAGTACAACATCAAATTGAACTACAAATTGGTGAACGAGAAAAAATTGGGCAAGGCACATTCGGAAAAGTATTTCGAGCAAAACTATTGAACACCGAAGAGATTATAGCCATAAAAGAAGTAGAAATGGAAGAAAAATTCAAATCTCGAGAGTTAGACATGTTAAAAATGTTAAATCATCCAAATATTGTGAAATTGAAATACTTTTTTCATAGTACAAGTGTTCACGATAATAAGGATATGCTGTATCTGGTAATGGAGTATATGCCAATGTCTGCTCACCGACTTATCCAAGATTATAGACGAAATCATAAAATTCTACCATTATTCTACATAAAGTTATTCGTTTATCAAATGTTAAGAGGATTAGCGTTTCTAGCAGCTAATGGAGTTGTAAGTTGTACCCCTTACAAAACATAACCTATCTTCGGTCGATCTTCACTTTTCATTACCAATACTGACTGTTCACCATTTCTCAATATTAGTGAAAAGAATAACTAATACTAGTATGAGAATGTCGGCAATATTTATTTTATTTAAAAAAAAAAAAA